AACAATGGCTTCAAACTACAAGAAAGGAGATTCCATCTGAACATTATGAAGAACTTCCTGACTGCGAGAGCCGTTCATCAGTGGAACTCTCTGCCCCGAAGTGTGGTGGAAGCTCCTTCTTTGGAAGCTTTGAAACAGAGGCTGGATGGCCATCTGTCGGGGGTACTTTGAATGCAATTTTCCTGCTTCTTGGCAGGGGTTGGACTGGATGGCCCATGAGGTCTCTTCCAACTCTATGATTCTATGATGATCTCTCATTCATGGGGTTACCATTAAGCTGAAGTCCACTTTACAGCATTTACCGTATATTCTGGTGTATAAGACTACTTTTTAACCCAAGAAAATCTTCTCAAAGGTGAGGGGTCGTCTTATACACAGGAGTCATCTTATACGCTGGAGTAGCCTTATGCATGGGAGTCATCTTATATGCGGGCGTAGTCTTATATGCCGGAAGTCGTCTTATAGAGCGGGTGCTGAAACTTCCAATCCGGATTGGAGATTTGTAGTTGCTGCATATTGTGGGGGTAGCTCAAAAATGGCAGTGGCCGCGTCCCTGCCGTATGTAGCAACTGTATGAAAGCATTAAGGGCGATGCTGTACAAGTATGGTAGAAGAAAATCAATTCATCAGGATTTGTGGACTTAATGCGGTCCCGATGGTGAGGTGAAGCGGCGCCTCACCAGGAAGGTGCAAGCTGCAGGCGTCCGGGGCACCCGGGGTATGGAAAAAAAGAGATAGAGTGGCTCTGGGCCCAGAAAAACACACCTCTTTTACCTGTCTGGCACACCCTTGTATCCTATTACCGTACCTCCTCCTCTGCCTCTCAGATCTCGCTCCTGAAGACTGCCGTGAAGTGCAGGGGCACATGTGCGAGATCTGAGAGGCAGAGAAGGAGGTACAGTAATAGGAAAATTACCATATTGAAATCAAATCAGATGCTTTAAAAAATTTATTTGTGTGTGTTGGAAGAGGTATAGTCTTATACGGTGAGTATATCCCAAACTCTATATTTTAACTGGAAAAGTTGGGGGGTCGTCTTATACGCCCATTTGTCTTATATGCCGGAATATACGGTAATAACGTTTTGTCAAAGAGTGCTGTTTTGCTGCATGCCTCCCATTCATTTGAATGACACTATCAGGCACTCATAGTAGCTTTTGTAAGGGAGTGTTTTCTGCATGACTCTGAACTTTGTACCTATGTGCTTGCTGGAACAGTAGCCACATCCTGTTTTTTGGTACAATGTGCGTTCATCAACTCTACCCACATTGCTTTTGCAGCTTGTTTTTGTGCCAGTGTGGACTCTCATAAACATTTCTCAGTATCCTGGACCACAATCATACCATATTCTAAACCAATGCATTTCGAAGGAACATCGGTGTCACTTTTTTGTTTCCATCTGCATCTCCTTTTTGAAAGCTCTTTATGTGGGGTTTTTAAAAATGCGCTTCCTGACATGCAACTTGACTTCTGAGAACAGGAAGAGCTGGCTCATACATCTTTGTAAGAAAAGCAAAGTCCTCAGCATGAATCACCTGTGTATTGTTATTCTGTAGCTGTTGCCTCAGCATCTGCTTTTCTTCAGAAATGCAAGGGAACTGAATTTAGCCACCATTTTTATTACCAAAACCAAAACTGTTTGTTTCCATAAAAAGTCGTTCTCAAATTTCTTCAAAACAAAAGAAGTAGAATTGGTAATGAAGTTTATTGGCCAGGGTGGTCCATGCCTTAGTCACCTCCAGATTCGATTACTGTAATGCACTCTATGTGGGGCTGCCCTTGAAAACGGTCCAGAAATTTCAATTGGTACAACGGGCGGCAGCCAGGTTACTAACTGGTGCAACTTAACTGGGAGCAGTCAACCCCCCTGTTTAAGGAGCTATATTGGCTGCCGTTCATCTTCCGGTCCCAATTGAAGGTGCAGGTTCTAACCTACAAAGCCCTGAACGGTTTGGGACCCGCCTATCTACGTGACTGCATATTATTATTATTAACTTTATTTGTACCCCGCTAACATCTCCCAAAGGCCCTCAATAAAACAACAGCATAACAAATACAAACAATAAAACTCAAAAAGCAAACCAATAAACATTAAAGCAATCACAGTAAAACAATAAAACAATACATCATAACACATTAAAACTAGGGCCGGACCAAATGTAATGGATAAAGTTAAAAGTGCTGGGCATGACAGGTGAAATATAAGGATTTTAGGGTAGGTGCGATGTGCAGACAATCTTAAATCTCTAGTAAAGTGCGTTTGGGACATGATGCTGGGGGTTTCCTATTCTGGAAAGGCACACTGGAACAGCCACGTCTTCAAGTTTTTCCTAAAGACTGTCAACGTTGGGACTTGTCTGATGTCCTTGGAGAGAGAGTTCCAGAGACGGAGGGCTACCACAGAGAAGGCCCTGTCCCTTGTCCCCACCAAACGCGCTTGCGACGCAGGTGGGATCGTGAGCAGTGCCTCTCCAGATGAACGGAGGGATCATGTGGGTTCATATACAGAGATGCGGTCACTCAGGTAGGCGGGTCCCAAACCGTTTAGGGCTTTGTAGGTGAGCACCTGCACCTTGAATTGGGACCGGAAAATGAACGGCAGCCAATGGAGCTCCCTAAACAGGAGGGTTGACCTCTCTCTGTAAGGAGCACCAGTTAGCAACCTGGCCGCCGCCCGTTGCACCAGTTGAAAATTCTGAGCCATTTTCAAGGGCAGCTCCACGTAGAGCGCATTACAGTAGTCCAATCTAGAGGTGACCAAGGCATGGACCACCCTGGCCAGATCAGCCTTTACGAGGTACGGTCGTAGTTGGTGCACGAGTCTCAGTTGTGCAAAAACCCTCGCAGTCACCGCCGACGCCTGAGCTTTAAGCGTAAGCGATGAATCCAAGAGGACACCCACATGAACCCACACGATCTCTACAATCATCTGTGTACAAACCCACACAATCTCTACGATCATCCGGAGAGGCCCTGCTTGTGCTCCCGCTTTCCTCGCAAGCGTAATTGGTCGGGACGAGGGAGAGGGCCTACTCGGTGGTGGCCGCCCGACTCTGGAACTCACTTCCAAAGGATATCAGGCATGCCCCAACATTGGCAGTCTTTAAGAGGAGCCCGAAAACGTGGCAATTCCAGTGTGCCTTCCCAGAATAAAGGAATAACTCACAGCAAAATGTCCTTACAAATTCACTTTAACCATTGGGTTGTGTTGGACTGTACCCTCACTTTTAAAAACCCTAACTTTTTTTAAAAAATCCCTCCTACAAGATACCCTCCTTGTCATATCCAGCGTTGTTTTTTTACATTTTAAATCATTACATCTGGCCTGGCCATAAGCTTTTAAATCCTGTGTGTTATTGTTATATGTGATTTATATTATTTTGTACTGCTTTGTATTGTTGTTATTGCTTTTCTGTTGGGATGTGTTGTTGGGCTTGGCCTCATGTAAGCCACTCCGAGTCCCTTGGGGAGATGGTGGCTGTTGCAACTCAGAGTAAGCTTCACATTGCTTCCAAACACCACCACACAAGAGCTGTAGTTTTATAGTTTATTGAGGAAAAAATCCAAGTCAGAATAAAGAATAAGCATTGCAAAGTTCCATAGATTAAGGTTAAATGCAGAATATAGTTCCAAAGACCTTCAGGTAAAAGCAGGAGACACAATCCTATTGGCAAAGTTCAAACCAGAGTCCCAGGTACAAGCAATTGCCCCAAGAATCACAATGCAAGAAATCCCAAGCGTACTGCTTTCCAGGCTAAGGTTATTCCATGAAGCTTCCAGGCTAGTAAGCTACGTTGAACTGATGCTTTCTCAGGGTTTGTAAGAAGCCTAAATACCTTTCTAACATGAAAACATTAGGCTCTCATCATCATAAAAGCATTGCGATGACCTTTCACCGAGCTGGCTTCTCGTCTGGCAGCCAGACGAGGACTCTGCCTGACCCTCAGATCAAGACAAGCTTGCCGAGTCAAGTCATTATCTACACTTTCGGTATCAGCGTGGGAAGGCACCTGCTCGCTATCTTCTTCGTTAAAATTCCTTTCTGCTGGGAACAGCTGTGTTGACACGGCACTGTCTGTGGGAGCCTCAGAAGCAGGCCCAGAGATTTGAGGCACAGACACAGAGCCAGGAAGCTGAACCCCAGTAGGAATCTGAATCCCATCATCCTCATCATCAGAAAACAGCTTAGCCACAATAGTATTATTAAAGTATTATTATTATTATTGATTAGTCCACTGACCATATCAACAGTAAAGACAAAACAAAAGAAGTACACAAACAGACCCGAATCACTATCCTAAGACTCCTGTAATAGTGAACTAACATACATTAAAACTTAATTAAAAGTTAAAAGTAATTAAAAATATCATCATTAAAATGTCAAGGTAAAACTTCATACCACAAAAGTTAAAAAAGAAAGTTAAAACAAAGGTTAAAATAGACCAGCTATTACAAAATCCCAATCCACTTCAGTACTCTGGTTTTCAATCGTATAAATCTTTCACCTTTTACTAAAGTAGAATTGATTTTGTATTGAACTGGCTGAAGAGAAAAAAAACTTTTGTTATTTTTGTTACAAGTGAGAGTGTTGTGGTGTTGGGTTTTATTTTTAAGAACCAAGAAGGGTGTTAATGGTCACTAAGCTGGCAATTTCTTTTGACTGTCACTTGTTTTATAGTTTTCCCAGTGCAAGGACAAAATTAAAGAGCTGGAGAAACAGTTTACAGATCCGACTGGTCAGAAAAGAGCAAGAGCTTTGCCAGGAAAGGACCCCTCTCAAGAAGAATTGTTCAAAAAGATCGAGGAGGTAATATCTGCCATTCATACTTTGGGAGAAGCCATCATACCAAACAATCCTGGACACATCGACACTGTAGAATTAATGCAGTTTGACACCACTTTAACTGACATGCCTCAATGCTATGGAATGCTAGGAGTTCTCGTTTTACCAGGTCTTTAGCCTTCTCTGCCAGAGTCCTGGTGCCTCACTAAACTACAACTCCCAGGATTCCACAGAATTGAGCCATAGCCATCAAAGTGATGTCAAGCTGCATTAAATCTACCTCCTGATTTACTACATATACTAGCCGCCCCTGCCACGCGTTGCTGTGTCCCACTCTGTATATATGTGTTTTGTGTGTGCATATGTGTGAGTATATCTTTGTGTACATGTGTGTTTGCATATATATATATGTGGCTTTGCGCATGCATTGTAATGTATTCTTTATTTATTTTTTTGCTTTTTAAGTCCCTTTGGCAGTGGTTTTCATTGTTTTTATGAGTGATGGTCACTTGTTGGCCTGATACATTATTATTATTATTATTATTATTATTATTATTAGCCATCCCCTGCCATGTATTGCTGTGGCCCAGTTTGTGTATGTGTTTTGTGTGTATATATGTGTTTATGTCTGTGTATATATTTGTGTATATGTGTGTGTTTGTGTGTATATATTTGTGTATTTGTGTTTATATGTGCATATGTATATTGTGTATATGTGTGTGCTTGTGTATATGCATATATGTGTGTATGTATGTGTATATATATGTGTGTGTAGGTGTATGTGTGTGCATACTGTATGTGTATATTTTTGTGTGCCTTTTTATATATATGTGTGTGTATCTATATGTGTGCATGTGTATAGGTATATTGTGTATATGTGTGTGCTTGTGTGTGTGTGTGTGTGTGTGTGTATATATATATATATATATATATATATAGAGGTGTGTTTATATTTGTGTATGTATGTGTATATGTATATAGGTGTATATGTATGTGTGTGTATATGTGTATATTTGTGTGTGCTTGCTTATATATGTGTATATGTGTATGAATGTATGTGTATATGTATATATGGTTTTTGCATGTGTGTGCGTGTGTGTGTTTTAGGGGCGATGGACGCTTGTTGGCCTAATAGGTGTTTTGTGTCCAAATTTGGTTTCAATTCACCCAGTGGTTTTTGAGTTATGTTAATCCCAGAAACGAACATTACATTTTTATTTATATAGATTTATGTTGTTGTTGTTGTTCATTTGTTCAGTCATTTCCGACTTTTCATGACCTCATGGACCAGCCAGGGGTGGCTCAACCCATTATGCAAAACTAATTGGATTGTGAAATATTCCAAATGCATAAAGACACAGAAGGTCGGTGTTAAAAGAGCTTTCCTGTTCTTTGTTTCTCTTGTGCCCTCCATATTATACTCTGAGTTCTAGCACCATTACATTGTGTATATTTCTACCTCTACCAACTGGATATGTTGGGTGGGGATGAAGATCAGGGGCGGCTCAACCCATTACGCAAAGTAAGTATTTGCAGTATAGTTGATTTTGCCCAGGGGTGCTCTTGAGGCGCTCTTGGGGGGAAAATAGACCTTGACATATGCGAGTTGTAGTTACTGGGATGTATAGTTCACCTACAATTAAAGAGCATTCTGAACTCCACCAATGATGGAATTGAACCAAATATGGCACACAGAACTCCCACAACGAACAGAAAATATATATCAGTGATTGGTTGGGGGGGGGGCAAAATACTGTTTGCTTACCATTGAAAATTACCTAGGGCCGCCTCTGGTGAAGATTTATAGTAGAACTGTGTCTGAGCATGAAATTAGTTACGCTACACATTGTAGACAAATTGGTGAGCAATTTACAAAGGAGAATTTTGCAGTATATCTCTGATGTTTCCCACATTCCACAAGTGGTGCTCACATGCCCCCTTTTTCTGTTGCATCTGTGCAACATTCCTTCTATCAGAAAGAACATTTCTAGCTCCACCCCAATATATCAATCCGCTATTTCTGGGAAACTGATCAATACGACAAAAATAATTGAACTTATTGTAATTGTTATGTAGAGACATTGTATCGTTACTAAACGTAAGCCATCCTGAGTCCCCCTTTGGGGGTAGAGAAGAGACGGGGTAGAAATCTATATAAATAAAAATGTAATGTTCGTTTGTGGGATTAACAGAACTCAAAAACCACTGGATGAATTGCCACCAAATTTGGCCTCGAGGCACCTACTAACCCAAGGACCATCACTCCAAAAAATTGATTTTGTCATTTGGGAGTTGTAGTTGCTGGGATTTATAGTTCACCTACAATCAAAGAGCATTCTGAACTCCACCAATGATGGAATTGAACCAAACGTGGCACACAGGACTCCCATGACCAACTGAAAACACTAGAAAGGTTTGGTGGGTATTGACCTTGAGTTTGGGAGTTGTAGTTCACCTACATCCAGAGAGCACTGTGGACTCAAACAATGATGGATCTGGACCAAAATTGACACGAATATTCCATATGCCCAAATATGAACACAGATGGAGTTTGAGGAAAAATAGACCTTGACATTTGGAAGTTGTAGTTACTGGGATTTATAGTTCACCTACAATCAAAGAGCATTCTGAACTCTACCAATGATGGAATTGAACCAAATGTGGCACACAGGACTCCCATGACAACGGAAAACACTAGAAGGGTTTGGTGGGCATTGACCTTGAGTTTGGGAGTTGTAGTTTGCCTACATCTAGAGAGCACTGTGGACTCCAAAAATGATTGATCTGGACCAAACCTGGCACAGATATTCCATATGCCCAGATATGAAATCAGATGAAGCTTGGGAGAAATAGACCTTGACATTTGGGAGTTGTAGTTACTGGGATTTATAGTTCACGTACAATCAAAGAGCATGCTGAACCCCACCAACGACAGAATTGGGGCAAACTTCCCACACAGAACCCCCATAAGCAACAGAACATACGTAAGGCCATCCAGTCCAACTCCCTTCACCAGGGCAAGAAAACGTAATCAAAGGCTCCTGACAAAGAGCCATCCAGCCATAGATAAAGATAGATAGATATGATTCACACACAGAGAGATATAGTATCATAGATTTGAAAGGGACTTCTAAAAGAGGACAATTATATGTTGCATATTCCAGAGTAGGCAAACCAGACAATCTCCACATCAACACTGAGAAAAAAACAGCAAGAAATACTGTTTACCCACATGCATTAAGACATTACATATATTAGAAATCAACACCTTCTCATTATTTTCCAGATCACCAGACTGGGCCACAGCAATGCATGGCAGGGAACGGCTAGTATCAGAAATAAATAAATAAATAAACTAACTTTCTTGACAGCCTCCCCTTTTGCCTTTCAATGGCTATGTGTTTAAATTTTTGATGTGATGATACAGACCTGTGCTTAACCTGATTGTAAGCAAATATTGCATCAAACCCAGCCCTAGGTTTGAGTATGTTGGCAATTTTGTCCTGGAAAACCCAATCTATAGAACAGTTTTCAGGTTGACTTTGTTTCTGATTATTAATGCTGGGCATTTACAAATTCCTTTTATAGTTAGAAATACAACTGGCACAAAAGGAAGAGAAATTGCTTGAGAAGGACTTCATTTATGAGCAAGTTTCCCGACTGACAGAGAAAGCCAACACCAAAGTAGAGAACAGCAGGCAAGACACATTAATCTTAGGAAAAAAGGTAAAACTGCCGTTTGTTTCTGTCTCACAAGCCATGTTTGATCCATTCCAGTCAAGCAGATCCCCATTTGGAATTACACCTTTGTGTATATTTTATGTGCCGAAAGAGAATTGTGTCTCCTATCACTGAAGTACATTGTCTTCTTTATACCACACATTTCTGGCCTGTGAAATAGATGTTCCATCTGCACTTACATTCTGATGCAACTACAGTGATACCTCAACTTAAGAGTGAACCAACTTGCGAGTTTTTCAAAATACAAGGCTTCACTCGGCTCATTTTTGTTGTGGCTCACTTTGAGCCTGAGTTTTCTGAGCCTGAGTTTCCTCAGGATGAGGATGATGATGGGTTACATATTTCAGAACCTGTTTCTGTTACTGATGCAGACAGTGTTGATTCTGAAGAAGAGACGGCATTTCTGTTCCTCAGGGAAAGGAATGTTGTTTCGGATAAAGATAGTGAAACTTCACAGCTGCAGGTGGACGAGCCGGCCAAGTAGGTCCCATCTGGGAGTTCAGGGCTTCTCGGTTCCCAGGGAGACCAGTCTCAGGATAATGAGGGATCCGGCCTTGAAGATGGAGACATGATTAGAGAAGACCGTTTGCAATTAAGTGTGCGCCTTGTCAACAAACGTGAGATTAGAGGTCAACGTAATGCTTTCATGTTGGTGGAACATATTTAACGATCTGATTGAAGTCTGTCCATTCTCAGTGCAATGTTGCTTCTACCATGTTAACTTCTCTGAAAATTACCTCGGCTTTTGGGGAAAGCTTCTAGCTCTTTGGGACTTTGGTTCTGCTCCTGATTTCTTGGGGACTTTGTCATCCTGCCATGGATTCTTGTTTAACCAATGCTAAAGGAATATACTTCATGTTATTTACCTCTGGATCTTGGGGACTTTGCCTATGCATTTAAGACTCTGTTTTGGCTATTGAACTTTTGCAACTTTACTTCCATGTTTTTGATTTTGCTTTTTCTTCAATAAACTACAAAAACTACAGCCATGGTGTGAGGTGGTGTCTTGAGCAAGGTTAATCTATCCTGAGCTGCAACAATTTTTTACTTCAAGATATGAGAAGAGATCCGAGTTATGAGCTAGATGTTCCTTTTTGCAGCCCCCTCCTCCACCACCATTTTCCCTCCCAAAAGTCCCTCTCAAACCCTCCTGGCACATTTTTTTCTCTTCACCTCTGTAGCGAGGGAGGGAGACTATTTCCTCTTTAAAAACCTCTTTGTTGCTTTATACTGATTCAGTTTCTTCTTTTATATTGGCTGGGGCTTTCTGTGTGCTGTTAAACCTTTGCACTTTATATCACAGGCAATGAAACACTCTTGTGTATAACAAAGTAACACAGTTTATTTATAACTTCTGGCTCCAACGTTTGTGGTTACATTTGTGTTTTGTTGCAATCTTGAGGCTTACAGTCAGTATCATTTACTTGGTTAACTTTTCTGAATAAACTATCAATGTTTCACATTCACAAACATGTTACTTGCTTTACACACTCTTGGCTGAATTATATTCTGAACTAAGGCAACACTAGCCTTCTTTATGTTCCTTAAAACTCGAGCTCTATTTAACTAACTGCTTCTCTATATCAGAAGTCTTTAACACATCTTCATAACTGCTTATTTCTATCAGGCACTCAAAAACCAACTCTCCTCTTCACACACAGATTCCTAACTGTCATTTTCAAACTCCCTTACTCTAACTGCCTCTTTCAGAACCTTGGCTCCGCCCCTTTGGAATGTTCAGCTCTGCTCTCCCCAACTGTCATTTTGGCCTAGCAGCCTTTTCAAATCCTGGGCTACACTAATCTGCATATGACCAATCGGCTTCACATATGCAAATGAATCCTATCTCTGCTGTTGTTACCCTGTCTGTGCCTATTCTTCCCTATCTGCCATATGTAAACATAGAGCTATACACCAAAACTTTAACATAGAGTAGCAATTTCACTACAACCTCCCTTTATTTTTTTCTCCACTTCCTCATGATGGCAGGCAGCATTGAGGGGCTGAGGAGGGAGGGAGGGGACTGCATGCATGCCTGCGAGGGGGGCAGGAGTATGTGTGCAAGGTGGCACTGGTGCAAGTGTCCACTTCATCAACCATCGTGTTGGTTCACTCTTCCTCCTCGGGCTGTTGATGCGGAACTGATTGGACATCTTTCGGCTGGGGAGCCCTGCATGCGTGAGGTGGAGGTGACGGTGGAAGGACCTCCATTGACAGTTGAGGTGGCCAGGCTTCTCTCCAGCAATGGGGGAAAGGTCATGGAGTCCACCCTCTGTGACATACAGTTTGGGGTCACAGAAAGCCAGGGGCTGAGGTGCTAGGTTTGTGCACAGAGATGGCTGAAAAGGTGTAGGGGTCTTCTGGTGTGTGTGAGGGGAAGGCCAGCCTCATGGAGAACCTCAACTTGTATCATAGGAAGACATCAACAAGGCACGACTATTCAATCCAATAATTTGCTCTTCCAAGCCATTTCTGACGTATGGCAAGTTTCTCACAGGGTTTTCTTGTCAGGGTTTGCTCACAGAGGAAGGAAGCAGAGGAGAAGGCCTTCCTTTCCCCCCTCAGCGAGCTCCCTGATCTTGACAAAAAAGAATGGTGTGGTTTTTGAGGGGCTAGAATGAATTAATAGCATTCCAATTAATTTCTATGTGAAAATTTGATTTGACATACGAACAAATTGAGTTACAAGCTTGGTCACAGAATGAATTAAACTCATATGTCAAGGTACAATTGTTGTTCTACATAAATAAAGATGCAAAGAAGTGCTTAGCCTGAATTGTATTGAAGATCCATTAGTCCTTCCATTAGAGTGGGTCAATTGAATCAATTTGATTTACATAAATGTTGACTCAAAATTCATCAGTTTGTTCAACTGATCTACAATATTCAGCGCTACCAATAGGATTCAGGTCCTCTTATCCAGATAATTATTTCTTCTGGGAGAAATGTAGCATAACATTATTTTTCCTTGATTGTTTTACATTTTTATTTAATGTGTAGGAAATAACACTAACAAAATATGAAATGCAAAACGTACTTTTCAAAGTTCATGATATATCCTGTATCTCTAATGTAGTTAGCTGTATGGTTCTCAAGAAATGTGGCAAACATTTGGATTATGTATAAGGCTTGGCAGAGGCATGTGAGGGAGCCCGGTATCACTGCTTTGTTTTTCATTCCAGATGAATGAACTTCAAGAGAAAATAAAAATTGCGACTCAAAAGATGATGGCATTGGTTGCAGAGTTATCTATGAATCAAGCTCATGCCATGAAACTGCAACAAGAAATGAGAGATAAAGAACAATTTTTAATGTGTGTCACCTCCCGGCTAGACAGCGGTCTTCCACCACCCAAGGAAGTAGAAACTGAGTGGTTAAAGATACTGCGAAATGAAGAAGTATATAAGGCAGCACTTGATGCCAAAGCAAAAGTGAGTTTCTGTTGGTCTCTTTATGGTAATAATACCATTTCGGGTTTGGCCCAACACTAGTTTATGAAGACATTTGGTACGTCTTTATGGTAATGTGGAATTCTTACTGGTGGCCAATGCCCTTTTGTATAATTTGTATCATTTGAGCTATATCTACAAGCCCTTCCGATCCTTGGTGGTATTGCAGCACTTTAGACCATAGACCTGTAGTAGTCATCCGAGCCAATGATACAAGGATAATGGCTGGAGTCCTGAATTAGCTTCATAGTTAAGTATATCTGAATAACCTCTCCTAGCCCAAGCCCCTCAAACCTGATAGAAGAAACATTAATCCATGCTCACTCACCGGAGAGTGGATCTTTTTCTCCCCATGCAATAGATTGGGGGTCGATAGAGGGAGGTATGTTTGTTAATACTGGTAGCCAGATTTTGTTCATTTTCATGGTTTCCTCCTTTCTGTTGAAATTGTCCACATGCTTGTGGATTTCAATGGCTTCTCTGTGTAGTCTGACATGGTGGTTGTTGGAGTGATCCAGCATTTCTGTGTTCTCCAAAATTAGAACAGCACAACAACAGAGAGGAAACAAACAAGGACATCTAATCACATCTCAACAAAAGATTGCTCCAGGCACTGCCAGGCCATCCAATGCTAATCAAGGTGGTCAGTTGAAACATCCACACCTAGCTCCAGCAGACAAGAGTCCTTTGTCTCACCCTGGCCATTCCACAGATATATAAACCCTTTTTCCTAGTTCCAACAGACCTCACTACCTCTGAGGATGCTTGCCATAGATGCAGGTGAAACGTCAGGAGAAATGCCTCTAGAACGTGGCCATATAGCCCGAAAAAACCTACAACAACCCAGTGATTCCGGCCATGAAAGCCTTCAACAAGACTTGTGGAGTGATTATTCGTTTGCTGGCTAAAATATTTTTGTACCCAGCGAAGACTGTAGTGTAGAGCTTATTTTAGGAGTCTACCAAGTGTAGGATTTCAGTCAGATGGAACCCCCAAGCCTGTTTTGGCAAGCCTTGGCCCCTCTAGATTCCCCAAACTATCACTTGGAGGAAGGAGGTGGATTCTATTTCTTGGAATGATGTAAAAAAGGCAAGTTCCTTTTAAATAGGTTTTAGGGCTTCCTGCACTGTTTAAAAAACAACCACTTTTCAAAACCAGAACTGAATTTCCATTCCCTCTACTCCCATGATAATGATGATGATTGTTATTAGAAACATAACAAGATTAGTACACAGCAAACAAGGTCACTATGCTGGCTGTTGTACTGGATCACACGATGGACACTTCCCAAGTGTCTAGAAGTGTGTGATGTATTAGCGTATAATGCGTGCAGATCCCAGTAGGGGGGGCTTTTGCTGCTGACAGATGGAAATTTTGTCAGTGCCAATTGTGTTTAAGTGCAGGCCAAGGTCTTTAGGCACTGCACCCAGTGTGCCCATCACCACTGAGACCACCTTCACTGGCTTGTGCCAAAGTCTTTGCATTATTTTTATCCTCCTCCTCCTCCTCCTCCACCACCACCATCACCTCCTCCTCCACCACCATCACCATCACCATCACCACCACCACCACCACCACCTCCTCCTCCTCCTCCTCCTCCTCCTCCTCCTCGCAGTCTATGCAGTCCATAGATAATCTCAAGAGCAGGACACTGGTTTTAACCTGCCCATTCTGGCCTAACCCATCAGTAAATTTTCTCCCCTATCAGATTAGCACCAAAAGAAGATCAACTTCAGGGACAACCTGGTGCATCTCTTTCATTCGGGTTATGCCATTGGCTATGATAACTCAATACATCCTCCCTTTAATCCTAGCTGCAAACAGAGTGTACACATTTATTTATTATTTACAGTATTTAGATTCCTCTCTTCTCACCCTGCAGGGTACTCAGGGCAGATTACAATGTACATACACATGGCAAACATTCAATGCCATAGACACACAACATATATAGACAGACAGTCAGAGGCTATTTAACATTCCAACTTTTTATGGCCACCTGGGGCGCTGTCGCTTCACTATCCGTCAGCAACACCAATGAAGTACTTCCTCATTCCCCGCATGCTTGCTGGAGATTTTTATGGCCTCATAAATTAATTAAATTAGTGGTACCTAAATTTCCAACTTGACAGATGCAACTGTCTTTCGGGCTGCAAAGGTCTGCAGCAAGCTACACAAAATTGGTCGGAAGCTCACTCCGACCCTGGCTGGCTTCGAACTCATGACCTTTCCGTCAGTAGTGATCTTAATGCAGCTGATTCCCAGCTAGCTGCTCCACAGTCCCGGCTAATATTCCATTGATATTTCTAAGAACCACTGTAATTGTCAATTTGCATGTAACAAATGATTCATTCTGTTTTCCACAGCATGCTGCCGAAGAGGAACAGTATGCCTTAGTAACCAGCATATACACCACAGCTGAGCAGCGTCCCAATGCCTACATCCCAGATGAAGAGAATGTTCTCCCTCTGCCACGGCCCTATGGAGCACTAGCGCCATTCAAGCCAGCTGAGCCAAGTGCAAATATGAGGCACATTAGAAAGCCAGTTGTAAGGCCAATTGAAATTTAAAGTTAAACCTACTGTGTTTTTAGTATTTCACTGCACCTGGATGTACAACTTTATAGTATCATAGATAAAGCAAGCCTTTTTCACTCCATCTCTTCAGCAATGAAATGGGCAACATAGTAAAGTAAGTATTGATGAATGGTTCAAGTGGGGCGGGGATTACATTTTTTCAAATATTTATTCTCAGGGAAGAATGCAAAATAATCCCTGGGTATGAATAACTACAAATATTAAAGTACATTTAGATAGCCATTGGCAACATACGGTTGAATTTCAGATCCAAAAATTTGGCAACATTCTTTTATGAATTTCAGATCCAAAAATTTCACGGGATATTTTGAAATGCAATTTACAATACTCCAGATAGCATATGGTTTCATCCTCTTTACGTCAATCATTTGTTAACATCAGAAATCTAGTAGCTCATGACACATCGGATGAAACTTTTTCCCTGCATAAATAAAGTGAACTCTGAAGTAAAATAGAGTCATGCTATTTCTTTGAAATTGGGGATTGACTTCTCCCTTTTTAGCATCAGAGGAAACAGTCTGATGCAAGTTTTGGTATCTGTATGTCACAGATAAGGGAATTCTTACCCCACAGAACAAGAAGTCCCTCCACATCCCTATAAAAATACTGAACTGGCCATCTGTTTACACTGGAATTCCACAAATACAATTGTGGATTCTTACAGATGGTCCATCTCCCCACTTTTTTCCAGGAAGCAGATATGATCCTATAACACACTCTAGCCCCTTCAGATGGCAACAGTCTTGGACAGCAATGGCTCCCAAAGTGATCCATTTAAGGTGGAATCGGGTGTCAAACAGGGATGTGTTATTGCCCCAACTCTATTCTCCATCTTCATCGCTATGATACTTCACCTTGTTGACGGGAAGCTTCCCACCGGAGTGGAAGTCATCTATCGGACAGATGGCAAGCTGTTTAACCTCAGCAGACTGAAAGCCAAAACCAAGGTTACAACAACATCTGTTATAGAACTCCAGTATGCTGATGACAATGTCATCTGTGCGCATTCAGAAGAAGATCTACAAGCCACTCTAAACACCTTCGCAGAAGCATACACGAAGCTTGGCCTGTCACTGAACATCGAGAAAACCAAAGTGCTGTTCCAGCAGTCACCAGCCATCCCCTCCCCAATGCCAGAGATACAGCTTAATGGTGTAACATTAGAAAATGTTGACCATTTCCACTACCTTGGCAGCCACCTCTCCACCAAAGTCAACATCGACACCGAAATACAACACCGCCTGAGCTCTGCGAGTGCAGCATTTTTCCGAATGAAGCAGAGAGTGTTTGAGGACCGGGACATCCGTAGGGATACCAAGGTGCTTGTCTATAAAGCTATTGTCCTCCCAACCCTGCTATATGCCTGCGAAACGTGGACTGTCTACAGACGTCACATGCAACTCCTGGAACGATTCCATCAGCGCTGCCTCCGGAAAATCCTGCAAATCTCTTGGGAAGACAAGCGGACAAACGTCAGTGTGCTGGAAGAAGCAAAGACCACCAGCATTGAAGCGATGGTCCTCCGCCATCAACTCCGCTGGGCCGGCCATGTTGTCCGGAATGCCTGACCACCGTCTCCCAAAGCAGTTGCTCTACTCTGAACTTAAGAACGGAAAACGGAACGTTGGTGGACAGAAAAAGAGATTTAAAGATGGCCTCAAAGCCAACCTTAAAATCTCTGGCATAGACACTGAGAACTGGGAAGCCCTGGCCCTTGAGTGTTCCAGCTGGAGGTCAGCTGTGACCAGCAGTGCTGCAGAATTCGAGGAGGCACGAGTGGAAGATGAAAGAGAGAAACGTGCCAGGAGGAAGGCGTGTCAAGCCAACCCTGACCAGGACCGGCTTCCACCTGGAAACCAATGCCTTCACTGTGGGAGAAGGGCTCCATAGCCACCTACGAATCCACAAGGAAACCCATCATGGAAGACCATCTTACTCGTCCAACGAGGGATCGCCTAAGTAAGTAAGTAAGTACAGTAAGTAAGCCTCTTCAGCAGATCCCCATGACAGCATTGCCATTCTCAAAGTTCTACAGAGGCAAGAAAGTCTGTTTCCACCAGCAAAAGCACACTCCTCAATCTGGATTCAACAGACTTGATGTTTGCTTTGATACATAGGTGGCAATGCTTTATAGCTCAACATAGTATTGTAGGTCTGTGTCCTGATTTGTTATAAACTTATTATTAAGCTGCCCTGAGTCCCTTTGGGGAGAGAGGATGGGGTATAAATAAAGTTGTTGTTATTGTTATGCTGGGTTGAGCCATTTATCATCATCCCAGATTTACTGAATAAGGAAACAATGCCCTGCTCTGATTAATTCTCTGCAATTGTCCTCAGAAGCACTTTAACTACCCGTTGGGTTGGTCTCCCTACATTATCTTTTAAAACCCTCCTGCTTAGATACATCCTACCTCTGTTCACGCCCAGCGTTTATTTTTAATTTTTAATTTATTACATCTGGCCCGGCCATAAGGTTTTAAATTTTGTGTGTTATTGCTTATATGTGAGTTATATTAATTGTACTGTTTTATTTGCTTGCTGTTTTGTTTTTATTAATGTGTTATTGGGCTTGGCCTCATGTAGGCTGCCCTGGGTCCCCTTGGGGAGATGGTAGCAGGGTATAAATAAATAAATATATTATTATTACTATTATTATTAAATATCAGAATTAATTAAAGAAGAGAGTGAGAAGAAAACAAGGGAGCAGAACTCGATGTTTGATAAAGAAAGAGAAACGAGGAAACAAGAACGGAAAAATGATATTCAGGCATTGAAACAGGATATTTTGACCAGATCCAAGGAAATGAAAGCGCAACTGGATGCAGAAAGGAAAAGCTCAGATGAAAAATTTCAGACCATAAAAGGAACTTTGCAAACAATACATGGAGACATACAAACAATTAAATCAGAAACTGAAAAGAATAAACAAGAACAACGAGCACTCAAACAACAAATGCAGCAAAATGAAAATAGGCTTTCAGATGTGGAAAGAAAGTTTGTGTATATGCAAGATAACCAAAGAAGGAACAATGTAATAATTAAAAACTTTCCAGAAGGGAACAAAAAAGAAGATTTGAAAGCTGAAATTTTGAAGTGGTTGCAAAAAATCACTCCAATGCTAAATTGGACAGAATTGGATTTAGAACGAGTTCATCGCCTTCCGGCTGGAAGAAATAAAATAACACCCAGGAATATAATAATTCGATTTCACAACTTTGCAAAAAAAAGATTTGATGAAAATATTAAAGAAGAACCCCAAATATTTAAAGATGGGAGAATTAAAGCTGGAAATATTCAATAACTATTGTCCTGAAACCAAGAATTGGAGATACTCAATGAAGCCAATTATGTTCCAGTTAATGAAGGCCGGAATATCGTATACCTGGGGATACTCTATCTTTCTCAAATTCCAACGGAAAGGCAAGAGGTACAGAATAGACTCTCTGGAACAAGGATTTCAACTACTGGAGGAGCTCGGCATAACAAGAAAATAAGAGAGATCGAAAGGATGAGAAGAAAGGAGCGGAGGGAGGAGAATTGGAGGGAATAATCGGCGCCGTCGGAGGAATCGGGATGCAAGAAGAAATTTAGAAGCACTGCAATCAAAAAAAATTTTTTTTACTTAAAAATGAGCACTTGGGGGGGAGGGAGACTCTGGGCCACGGGATGACTTCAACCCCCCTCCCCAATTGGGAAGGCCGAGGGCCAAGGTTGGGACTAGAAGTCCCGAAGAATGGAAGGGGAGGAAGGGGGGAATGAGGGGAGGGGGGAAGCAGGGGGGACGGGGGAAGGGGAGGGGAGTACAAAGCCCTCAAACTTTTTAAACAGAGGGCCAGGTCACAGTCCCTCAAACTGTTGTAGGGCCGGATTATAATTCGGAAAAATCATGAATGAATTCCTTTGCACTCTGCACAGATCTTATTTGTAGTCAGGCCTGTAGCGAGGGGGGGGGGGTTAGGGGTTCAACCCCCCCCCGAAATGTTTCAGATTTTTTTTAAAAAAAACAGTTTACTCATGAATTTTAACTGGTTAACCAAATCCCCATGCTAAGTCTATGAGATGCAAAAAATTAAGAGTCCCTCCAGAACTACAAGCACTATCTCAAGCAAATATTTATTTATTTATTATTTTTAAAACTTATATGCCGCCACTCACCTGGGGCTCAGAGCGGCTTACAAGAACAGGCTAAAATCTAACACAATTTCAAAACAATTTAAAACAATTTAAAAACAGCAATATCAAAGATCAAAGGCCTGTCGAAACAGATATGTCTTACATGCCCTGCGGAAAGCTGATAAGTCCCGCAAGGCACGGACTTCAGGTGGCAGAGTATTCCAGAGGGATGGTGCCACTGCTGTAAAGGCTCTGCGTCTGGTTGCTGTTAGACACAAGGTCTTGACACTGGGAATTTCCAATAGATCTTGGTCCTCAGAACGGAGGGATCTCTGGGGTTGGTAGGGGTGAGGCGGTCCCTCAGGTACATCGGCCCCAGACCATGCAAGGCCTTAAATATTGACAATTTATTCACACTGTCATTACTTGCAGCAATAGCCGATGTAGTGAAGCAACCAAGTTGGGTGTGTGTGTGTTGAATGCTCTCATTAAGGAGGCCAGACTTGGTGGAGGTGGTTGACAGGGGCGGAGCTGCAGGCTATTGAAGGCTGCTCTGCCCCCTGCTGTGCTCTTTGCTTCAGCGTGAGCTAGGAGGCAGGTTTCAAACCCCCCCCCGCAAAATTTTCAACCCCCCCCCTGAAAATTTCAACCCCTCCCAAAAAATTTTTCTGGCTACGGCCCTGTTTGTAGTGCCAAAAAACAACACTTAAAAACAATACAATAATTAAAATGAAGAACAATCTTATTAGTATTTTCTCTAACATGATGCCAACTAAGAAGTGAGGCTGTTGTACTGTAAGGATGCCAGCGAAAAGGAAACTAAAAAAAATCTTTGCTGGAGAACCTCTTTTCTATTGTTGTTAGAAATTGTCAAATCACGGCTAGAAATTGAAA